CAAAGGTATGTATTAAAACTAAATATTCTTATGGGATTCCTTCGTAATGATTAATGTTTCATACCAATGAACACGAAGCGTTATGCATAGATTTGAGGTAAGTCTCTTACCATTAGTGCCGTCGGAATGAAATATAAAAAATACGATTAGTCCGTTATGTTGTTTACGTTCCAATCTCGATAGTATGTGCCCTGCTGGGTACAGCGTATAAATATACGAAACCCATAACGTACCTAAATCAGTTTTTATAACCGTGATCGTCCTGCCCATCCCGCCGCCACCTACTTTAGTCACGTATTCGTTGAATATAATAGTGTGTTTTATTTTATTTTATTTTTATTTTCTTAACGTATTCCCCGACGTGTCTGCCACCGCTGCCGTTAATCTCCTTCAGAAAACCTTATAAATAAAAATGCAAGGTGAATCTTGCGCGTCCGGATGTCTCGTAGATATAGCCGACTAATAACTTCCGTTGCCGACGGATCTCTTGCGTCGCAGCAGCTCAGTAAGAAGGTGTAAATTAAAATATGAATATTTTATTAACCGAGATCATAACTTTATTTTTGTTCACAACAATATAATACTGTCGCGTTGAAATTATAATAAAATAATCAACTTTTCAAAATCGGCCTGTCACTGGCTGCAATTTTTTCTCATTTTTTTCCCCCTCGGACCATGCGTCACAACCTTTATATACGTGTACCGCGGTCGTTCAATAATATTACGCCGCTTCTGCTGCTGATGCTGGTGCCTTCGCCGGCTGTGCAGTTCTAATCTCTGCGCCACCGGTGTCTAGGGATCTGGTCCTCTGTACTACGACGTCTTTTAATAATTCTCGCAGTAAATACGAGTGCCACGGTAGCACGAAGAAATGCTTAGGACACCACGATTCAATTATAATAATACATGGTCGGATGGAGTAGTGGTTCATGTTATTAAAACAAAAACATTTCAAATCGTCCAATAAAAACTATGAAAGTGTTTTATCTATTATTCTTTAAACTTTAAAATTTAAAGCGTTCCTCGAATATTTATTCAATACACCCCAAAAACGTATAATTTATATTTACACTGTTATATTATCAAAAAGTGTGCAATTAAAGTAGAAATATTAATAATAATGACTATGAACGAGAAATTTTGGTTTTCTTTAGTTCTCGTTTTCATGAAAAAAAAAAATAATAAATAAATAAATAAAAAAAAAAACGAATAATTAAAACATATATTTAATCGAAATTAGATAAAATATTATTTTATGGTGCATTTCAATTTTAAATGTTCACAGTATCATCGAAGGTGATTTGTGATCGATATTTACTAATATGAAATCGAAAGACAAAAAATTACCCAATCATTTAACGAATGTACGGATCGCTTCAAACGTGTAATGTGATACACACATAATACAAAGCACTAAAGAAATGCGGTGAACGACACATACATTATATATAATATATATACTATAATGAAAAAAACAAAAACGGTTGTGTCATAAAATTACAAAAACGTTACAATGACCGAGAAATTTTCAGAGACCCAAATACAAAGCACCGGGAACATAATTTCCGAAAAAAAAAAACACTACAAATGTCTTCAATATCAAATGATTTATTTAATATTGAGCTACAAAACGCGCCGGGTATGTGCCATGGTGGGTGATGGAACAAAGCATTTTTAATTTTTGGAAACAAAAACCCGTCTACATTATTGTTCTGGGAAAATGTGAGTCGGATATCTAACGAGAAATATTTGAGTCTAAAGTTGAAAAATGATAATCGAACGGAAACGGTTCTTGATGTGTTTTGAAATCGGAATCGTACGCGATTGAAATTCGATTAGGTATTTAGGCGGTAGAACATGATATTTGTATTCAACAGTTTTTCAAATATCAAATGCTTTACCGGGATCACACAACTGTCGTTTTGATTCTATCGAAACCTGGCTATTTCGCACTAATAACGTTGAATTTAAAATTTGAATTGAAAATTTGTTTTATGTTTCATTTGCATTAGTTCGAACAACGATTCTTTCGCAATGATCGATCGAATGCGAAAAGCTAACACGATTAAATTGGCGTATGTAAATTCCGCCCAAAAATGGTAAATTTCATCCAAGATGAACTATAGGTTAGGAAATATACATATAAATTCCAACCGAAAAAATTGATAGTTATTTAACACATTCTACATATAATTTTTAAGTTTAGAAAATTTTAAATTGTCTAATACTAAAAGTATATTTCCATGTTCTGGTTCTATAAATCGAGCCATTATAGCATATAAGACTCTAGGATATGTACTGAACATAATTTATAATATTTCTGATACTTCCAATTATTAGATCCACAATATGTAGCAAAGCTGAAAAGATATGACATAATAGACGATTGACAAATCCATTTTTGTACTGGTAAATTTTTTTGGATGGAATTTACATGTACCCTTTTTACTTGGATATTTTGCCGGGTGAAACTTACCATATACCTTGTTTTTATCTATTAATTTCGGATGGAATTTTTATAATACCTCAATTAAATAATAGAGATCGGGTGGATTTTTTTTTCCAGTCCAATGGTCACGATGAGCGGTGCTCTTATAAATGTTCATTGAGTTTTTATTGATCTTATAATTTCGATAAGCAAATCAGATCGTCGTCGTGTACTCGAACTGTCATATTATCGTCATATCACTCATTTTATCAGTATAGATCGCTCAGAACGTCATTTCATTAAACAGAGAAATACAGTTTTTACCGCTAAAAGACACTCTGTTGAAAGCAATGGACTTGAATATACGATGTGACAAATGCGATACGCACACGTGTTCATAATGAACCTCGGGATTCGGGATTAAGCGACCTGTTATATTACGAAAATATTTCAAGAACGGCGATTGACGATTCAATGACATTTCTGGAGTAATGACATCAGGTCAGTTATGGGCAACATTCCGTGAGTTATTGTCTCATCTCTACTGGCCGATAATTGCAGATTGTAGGCGTACAGCAACCCGGTGATTTATTTTAGTCTTTTTCAATGGTTATGGACAGAGAGAGAAGCAATCAAATACTTCAAGAGTAAAATTTGAATATCCGCAGTTATTACAAGCTTGAATTTAGTTGAATAATAGTATATAGAGAAAATATGTTTTACTCCAGTTTTCGTGATCTAAAGAAATTCGTTGAACTTTTGTAAAGGATAAAAGTAAAATTGCAATTGAAACGTACTTGTAGGGGGAAAAAAGACGCTCAATAGGGTTGGATGAATCCAACCTCCGTATCGCCCGTGAATGGAACACTGTATCAGCTTTAATTTACAACGACCAACATGCCTATTTTGATATGGAATGCAGCTCCTGTTGCCAGTAATCTAGACCATTGGTTCGCGATCTAAGGATTGCGATATTTAAATGGAAGTCCGCAAATAATTTACGTCGAAAGAAATAGTATTTACACCGTGCAAAATATTATTAAACTATAGATATCCATATAGAAATAAACACGTTTGACGGTCGTGGATCAAAAGAGATTGTGCACCATTGCTCCGGATCTTTACGTGATCATGGGTCACACATATCACATGACTCGAAGACCGAATAAGTGTCGTGGTTAAATTTTCCGCGGCGTTTTTCGTGCATTTACGTTATCTTTGAATGGATATTGAAAGGCAATTTATATTTTATATTGTTCCCTCCCCACCCCCGATCACCGTTGAAATATAACGGGTACCTAAATATCACATTGTGTTCTGAAAGGTTTTTTTCGATAGCGATACGTGCTTTCGTGCGTAAGCTTCGATTTACAAATGATTTTAACATTTTTGAAAAAAAAAATAAGAATGTACACAGAAGTATTTCATAATAACAATAATTTTTTAAACGAACGGTACACTTAATAATATTGCTAAGAAGGATCACCACACCTATCCGTCGTTCAAAAACCCAGAAGAGTCTAAATATCATCTAAAATATTAATTTTGGAATCCTTCGAAATACATGTCCAAAAGGAAAGCAAATAGTGTAAAACCGTCCATAAATAGCTAAAAAATGTTATTTTAAAATTCCAAAGGATATGAAAAATGTACAGATTTTATAATTATATTTTTTTGTAATTATACTCACTCATCAAACTTTTAGTTTATATTGGTATATACTTGAATACATGTTTTACGACTGAAATTGCTATAATGGCTTTAACAATTTTGAATAATAATTTAATGTCAAGCAAGTGTTTTTAGTAATTTGTTTTAGCTAAATTAATAATTATAATTCTTAAGAATTAAATGTTCAAACAAGGCAAACAACTGATGAGTACTATAAAATCTTATATTACCATAGTTGTCAGTGAAAATTCAAAGAATTTCATAACTGAAAATTATCAAAAATAATGATTACTGTTTCTATTGCGGTTAGTTGTATGTGTGGTACTCACCTACAATTATTAACATCATCCTACGTTTTGGGACTGGTTTTATAATCGCATGCATATGAAATTACCATATAATATGACATTATATTATAATAATAGTTATACAAATTAGATATTCATGAACAAGAAATTCATTATAATATATTCGTATACACTCGACCTTCGGGAAAGTTTTCAATTGCAATAACTTATCATAACATTCAACTTTAAAAAAAAAATAATATGCAACTTACATGACTGAGTTTGAGATACAATCTTAAGTTTCATAATTTTTTTTTTACTTGTCGGATAAGTAAGTTGAAGAAAAGAAAATTATTAAACATAGGCGTGTCCAGACCTTTGACGCAGAGGGTGCAATCTGGCTAAAGTCCCTTAGCCCCCCTTTTTATACAATTTTTGTTAATTTCAAATTCGTCATTATTATAACTAATATTAAAAAAAAATGTTGTTCCTATTTCAGATGGCATATTATAATAGATATCAGTAGGTAAATAGTTAAAATAAAATCATGTATAAATAATAAATATAATATTATATAATAATATATATGTGTCAGTTACAAAATTTTAAAATAATTAAAGTTCTAGTCGCCGTTGTGTATTGTTAAGATGTTTGAACTCTTCAATTATTTCTTCTGGATCTAATTCAGATGCCAATTCCTGTTCAACAAATACTAACATCGTTGACTCCAATCGATCATGCGTCATACAACTTCTCAGCTTTGTTTTTACCAGACTTAATTTTGAAAAAGATCTCTCACAAGAGCAACTTGTGACTGGCATTGTTACAAAAAGAGTTAATATCTTGTAAATATTTTGAAAACTATTACATAAATTATTAGTGGACAGATTATTTAACCACTGATAAATAGTTTTGCTTGTTTTACCAATTTCAAATTCTGGTAACGATTTTAACAATCTGAGTTCTGCTTCAAGTTCACTGTCATTTAAGTTAAACCTATTGGAAAGTAAAATTAAGTCATGTTCATGCAGGTTAAACTGTAATAAACGTCCAATTGCACTTATTAGTAAAAGTGTTTCTTGACTAAAACGTTCTTCTAATCCGTTTAAAAGGTCATCTAAAACTGTGTAGTACACAAAACATTTTGTTTGGGCCGGGTGCTACAAATAATATGCCGCACTTCTGGACACCGACTTGTGTGTGTCGCACACTACCGACCGATTTGTATGTATGTTGTATGCTTAATACTAATGACAATAGGTAATTCAATGATAAATAAACTGGTATAATATGGTAACTATGTTGCTGTATTGTAAAATAAATTATAAGTTGGGCCTTCTGGCCCAACAATAAATTATAAAATTTAAAATAAATATGGTAATAACAAAAAATAATTCACAGCAACACGTAAATTGTATAAATAATAATAATATATACTCTGGCTATTTGAGCCTAACTAAAATGCCGATTCGGCACAAACAATATAATAAATAATAATAATAATGGCCCTTATGGCATAATAATAATTAAATAATAAAATAAATATATAAAAACTTACAGTTTGTGGAGCGCAGACTGGCCAGCTGCAGCTACCTAAAATCTATACTTTAAAATACAATATAAATAAAAAATACAATAATAATAATAGTGGCGATTAGCGCACACACAATTATGATATAATAAAATTCACAACATTTAGTGGCGATTCGCGCACACGTAAATGTGTATAAAATAAAAAACTACCGGCGATTAGCGCACATAAAAATAATATTATAAAAAACAATAATAATAATACTGGCAATTCGTGCCTATAACAAATTTTGTAAAAGGAAAAATTGTTCGCAAACGCGCAACGGACAATTCACGACGACGTACAGAGAGCGACAAAAGTTGCGGCGGCCGTGTTAAAATACGCGCACCGACGAGCCGGCGACGCAGATAACGCGCCGATAACGGGTAACGCGTTGGGACTTAATTAATTTAAATAATTCACACACAATTAATAACAAAAATAAATAAATCACAATACAGATAATTGTGCGTGTGTCCGATCGTGGTGATATACTCGGGTCGTCGACCGGCCGTTATTCTCGCTTATCTTGACCGTAGCGCACTAAATACATTTCATTTCTGTTTTTTTGTCAGAGATAAAATGTTGAGTATTGTTGCTGTCAATTCGACTAGACACTAGTTTTTGTGAACTACAAATGTCCAAAACTTTGTCAAATAATGTTGAATAATTGTCTTCATCAGTTCTTAAGTCAGTTAATGATTTCTTTAGTGCTTCAACAATTGATACGGCAGCTAAGAGGTCTATGTCTGGTGATTGCAACTTTGCACTAACTATGCGAATTTGATTCAAAATAGGTTTTAAAACAGTTAAAGCAAATATAAAATTGAAACTTTTTGGATTGTGGATAAGTCAATTTGCTTTTAATCTCACATCAGCTAATTTTGTAGTCTTATATATTTCTGAAAGACACTGTACTAATGAATCATAATTATGATCAACTGCTTCAATAGCTTCTGATCTGCACGCCCATCTGGTTGTCGATAACGATTTTAATGTTTTTAATTTATTATTTGTTTGTTGAGATATTTTTTCTAATACAGAATGTCGAATTGGACTTCCCTCAACAAAACTAAATATCATTTGAACACACCAAAAAAAATCAAAAACTAAACGATTTTTATGCCCCAATGAGTCCACTAAAACCAGATTAAGGCAGTGACCATAACAATGTATATACTGAATTTGAGGATTTTCAATTTTAATTTTGGCTTGAACACCATTATTTTTGCCAGACAATGTAGCAGCTCCATCAAAACAAACAGCCAAGACAGAACTCCAATCTACATTAATTTCTTTAATTTTTTTCAGTTAAACTGTTAAAAATTGAATTCACGTCCACTGCATGTAAACGTTGTAAGCCTATAAATATTTCAGTTGGTTTATTTTTCGAAGGATCAACAAACCTTAATACAACAGACATTTGCTCGTGATGGCCCACATCACTTGTTTCATCTGCACATGCAGAAATAAGTTTATTTTTTATTTTTGATAAAATTTTACGTTTCATTACATTGTTAATAGATTTCAATAAATCATTTTGGATTAAATTACTGGTATATAGTACATTCTTTTTACCATTATCTATGTGATTTCATAAAGTTTCATCATACTTTTTAAGAACACTTACAAAGTCTAAAAACATACCTTTACAAACACTGGACTTTTGTTCGTTGTGTCCTCGGAAGGGCTTACCACTTTTAGCTAAACATAGCGTGATGTCAATTAGGCGAACCAATACACTACGATTATGTAAACGTTCTTTTTCTCTCTGACTAATGGCTATAATTCTTGACTCATCTAATGCAATATCTATTGAATTAGAACCTAAATAATTTATTTTTGCAGTCATGGAATGAATGTGGGATTTAGATTTTTGATGGTCTTTAAACTTTGCAGTTGCCTTATTCCAATTTTTGAAACCATGACGTGAAAATGTAAAATCTATTTGGCCTTTATTGAGTCCATCAGATGAATTAAATAGTCGACATGGAAAGCAAAATGCTTTATCGACTTTAGGACTATATTCCAACCATTCAAAATTATCAAACCATGATTTATTGAAACTACGTACAGTACTACCAAATTTTGTCCTTGGATACAACTTAAGTTTAGGCTGGAATGGTCCACGTTCAACTCTGGACTTCCTTTCAATTTGATGAATAGGCAATTTTTAAATCCAAGGAATATCTTAGTTCCTGCCACCTATAATCGCAGGGGGTGCAGGTGCATACCCTGCACCCCCCGTGGACACGCCTATGATATATATATATATA